ATTGCTACTCCAGCTTTCTTTTGGTTTCCATTTGCATGGCCATTTGCATGGAGTTTCTTTTTCCATCCCCTCACTTTCAGTCAGTATGTGTCCCTAGGTCTTGTAGACAGCATATATATGGGTCTTGTTTTTGTATCCATTCAGCCGGTCTGTGTCTTTTGGTGGGAGCATTTAATCCATTTACATTTAAGGTAATTATTGATATGTATGTTCCTATTCCCATTTTCTTCATTGTTTTGGGTTTGTTATTGTAGGTCTTTTCCTTCTCTTGTGTTTCTTGCCTAGAGAAGTCCCTTTAGCATTTGTTGTAAAGCTGGTTTGGTGGTGCTGAACTCTTAGCTTTTGCTTGTCTGTAAAGGTTTTAATTTCTCCATCAAATCTGAATGAGATCCTTGCTGGGTAGAGTAATCTTGGTTGTAGGTTTTTCACCTTCATCACTTTAAATATGTCCTGCCACTCCCTTCTGGTTTGCAGAGTTTTTGCTGGAAGATCAGCTGTTAACTTTATGGGGGATTCCCTTTTGTGTTATTTGTTGTTTTTCCCTTGCTGCTTTTAATTTGTTTTCTTTGTATTTCATTTTTGACAGTTTGATTAATATGTGTGTTGGCGTGTTTCTCCTTGGATTTATCCTGTATGGGACTCTCTGTGCTTCCTGGACTTGATTACCTGTTTCCTTTCCCATATTAGGGAAGTTTTCACCTATAATCTCTTCAGATATTTTCTCAGTCCCTTTCATTTTCTCTTCTTCTGGGACCCCTGTAATTCGACTGTTGGTGCATTTAATGTTGTCCCAGAAGTCTCTGAGACTGTCCTCAGTTCTTTTCATTCTTTTCTCTTTATTCTGCTCTGCAGTAGTTATTTCCACTATTTTATCTTCCAGGTCACTTACCCGTTCTTCTGCCTCAGTTATTCTGATATTGATCCCGTCTAGAGTATTTTTAATTTCATTTATTGTGTTGTTCATTGTTGCTTGTTTCCTCTTTAGTTCTTCTAGGCCCTTGTTAAATGTTTCTTGCATTTTTTCTGTTCTATTTCCAAGATTTTGGATCATCTTTACTATCATTATTCTGAATTCTTTTTCAGGTAGACTTGCCTATCTCCTCTTCATTTGTTAGGTCTGGTGGGTTTTTACCTTGCTGCTTCATCTGCTGTGTGTTTTTCTGTCTTCTCATTTTGCTTATCTTACTGTGTTTGGGTTCTCCTTTTTGCAGGCTGCAGGTTCGTAGTTCCTGTTGTTTTTGGTGTCTGTCCCCAGTGGCTAAAGTTGGTTCAGTGGGTTGTGTAGGCTTTCTGGTGGAGGGGACGGGTGCCTGTGTTCTGGTGGATGAGGGTGGATCTTGTCTTTCTGGTGGGCAGGTCCACGTCTGGTGGTGTGTTTTGGGGTGTCTGTGGCCTTATTATGATTTTAGGCAGCCCCTCTGCTAATGGGTGGTGTTGTGTTCCTGTCTTGCTAGTTGTTTGGCATAGGGTGTCCAGCACTGTCTCTTACTGGTCGTTGAGTGGAGCTGGGTCCTGGCGTTGAGATGGAGGTCTCTGGGAGATTTTCGCCGTTTGATATTACATGGAGCTGGGAGGTCTTTTGGTGGACCAGTGTCCTGAACTTGGCTCTCCCAGGTCAGAGGCACAGCACTGACTACTGCCTTGACCACCAAGAGCCTTTCATCCACACGGCTCAGAATAAAAGGGAGAAAAAGTAGAAAGAAAAGAAAGAAAGAAAGGATGAAATAAAATAAAGTAAGATCAAATAAAATAGTTATTAAAATAATTATTAAGAAAAAAATATTTTTAAGTATTAAAAAAAAAGGACGGACAGAACCCTAGGACAAATGGTGAAAGCTAAGCTATACAGACAAAATCTCACACAGAAGCATACACATACACACTCACAAAAAGAGGAAAAGGGGAAAAAATAATACATCTTGCTCCCAAAGTCCACCTACTCAATTTTGGGATGATTCATTGTCTATTCAGGTATTCCACAGATGCAGGGTACATCAAGTTGATTGTGGAGCTTTAATCCGCTGCTCCTGGGGCTGCTCGGATAGATTTCCGTTCTCTTCTTTGTTCGCAAAGCTCCCGGTGTTCAGCTTTGGGTCTGGCCACGCCTCTGCGTGTAGGTCACTGGAGGGCGTCTGTTCTTCGCTCGGACAGGACGGGGTTAAAGGAGCAGCTGATTGGGGGCTCTGGCTCACTCAGGCTGGGGGGAGGGAGGGGCACAGAATTCGGGGCGGGCCTGCGGCGGCAGAGGCCATGACGTTGCACCAGCCTGAGGCACGCCGTGCGTTCTCCCGGGGGAGTTGTCTCTGGATCCTGGGACCCTGGCCGTGGCGGGCTGCACAGGCTCCCCGGAAGGGAGGTGTGGATAGTGACCTGTGCGCGCACACAGGCTTCTTGGTGGCGGCAGCAGCAGCCTTAGCGTCTCATGCCCTCTCTGGGGTCCGCGCTGTTAGCCGCGGCTCGCGCCCGTCTCTGGAGCTCCTTTAAGCGGCGCTCTGAACCCCCTCTCCTCGCGCACCAGGAAACAAAGAGGGGAGAAAAAGTCTCTTGCCTCTTCGGCAGCTCCAGACTTTTCCCGGACTCCCTCCCGGCCAGCCGTGGCGCACTAACCCCCTGCAGGCTGTGTTCACGCCGCCAGCCCCAGTCCTCTCCCTGCGCTCCGACCAAAGCCCGAGCCTCAGCTCCCAGCCCCGCCCGCCCCAGCGGGTGAGCAGACAAGCCTCTCGGGCTGGTGAGTTTCGGTCGGCCCTGGTATTCTGTGTGGGAATCTCTCCGCTTTGTCCTCCGCACCCCCGTGGCTGCGCTCTCCTTCGCGGCTCCGAAGCTCCCCCACCTCCGCCACCCGCCGTCTCCGCCCGCGAAGCGACTTCTAGTGTGTGGAAACCTTTCCTCCTTCACAGCTCCCTCCCACTGGTGCAGGTCCCGTCCCTGTGCTTTTGTCTCTCTTTTTTCTTTGGCCCTACCCAGGTACGTGGGGACTTTCTTGCCTTTTGGGGGGGGGCGGGTCTGAGGTCTTCTGCCAGCGTTCAGTAGGTGTTCTGTAGGAGTTGTTCCACGTGTAGATGTATTTCTGATGTATTTGTGGGGAGGAAGGTGATCTCCGCGTCTTACTCTTCCACCATCTTCCTCAATTCCTCCAGGATATTGTTTTTAAAATTCATTTTGAGTGATTTCTTGAAAGGATGGGTTTGGTACTAATTTACATCCCATAGTATTATCATACTTCCTCAATTCTTAGATGCCTAAAAATTTTTTTTACATTCCTAAAATTGGAATGTGCCGTACAATAAATGTCGAAAGGAACTTGCCAGCCTTTCTTTTTTGTCCAAACACTGATGTTAAATGATGGTCTCCTTAACTCCCAATTGCCTTGAAATAGAGGGGGTACATAGAACAAGGCTATTTGTCTCCATTAACTTTCTCAAGGCTTTAGGTGACCAAGAACTAATAATAAAGCATTCTCCCCTAATAATCTAAGCAAGGAATTATGTGGATATGGGCATGATGGTTGTCTGTGATTCTTTTCCATTTTCTCCCACGAGATCTTTCTGACTCACCACACTGATTCCCCCAAAGAGAACAGAGGGCTGGCCTGAGCCTCCTTCCCTGAATCCCATTTCTCAGAGGTTAGGCCACATCTCGCCTACTGGTGGATGACTGGGCTGGTGCTCTTCGGGCAGAGGCCACTGTGGTCACGGGCTGATGTGGGGACCCCTCCACCTTCTAGAGTATGTCTGTAGGGCCAGAACCAGGGAAATCATAGCTCTTAGCTCCACACACTCATAGAAGGAGGACTCATGGGTGTCTGGGGGCAGAGGTTGTGAGTGGGAAAGGTGTTACCTGGCCGTCTCGTTGAGTCATTGGCCTGAGAGCCTGAATTATTGCTGCCTGTGGTTCATGAGCTTCTCAGCCCTTTTATCCCCAGCCCGTCTCCTGTACAGAAGGTGCAGCAGAATGTGAGCTTGAGCTGAGCAGAACTTCTTTTTAGAAGTCTGACAGGATCGTTTATGAAAACTCGCTGTCTTTTCCCATTCCTGAGAACGTCTCCAGTAAGATAATCCCATCAGAGGGTTATTTATAAAAAGCCGTGGCTACATTCCCACATCTGGCACAGTTTAACTCCGGTCAGAGATGATGATGCCGACGATGATTGTCATTAGGAAAATTAAACCTTTTATGTCACAAAGCAAGGAAATTGAGATTATCTTTTTGCAATGCCATTCTTTCTTTCCCTATAGCTCTTGGGACCTGGTTCCTAGAATGTTTGCTTTAGAACTTGATAATGTAAGGTCACTTAAGTCAGGTCACCCGTAAAACTCTCTTTTTGGAACAGACATATGCATACTAATACAGTACTTTCTTGTATGTGTATTCTTAGTCCTGTAGATGTCAGGGTTGCAACATGTAACTTATCCCACTGTCCCAGCTACTCTCATGATCTGCAAATCCATGTAAGACCCTGGAGAGCATGGGCAGGCTTTCAGGTCTCAGGCACTTCGGACATGTGCTCGGTCAGCACTTCTCAAATTTGACCCCCAACATGCTTCCAAAGGCAGAAGAGAGAGAACACATTCTACTGGTAGACAGGGGGTGGGTTCTGGGACCACAGAGTGGTTTCTTGGTTTATGAACTAGTGGTACCTGGGACTTCTTTTGTCTATAGAATTATGTGCCCTAAAATAGTACAGCTTGTCTGAATAAGTAGAACAGATCATCAAATAGTTTGTTTTTATCTTATTAGTGCCAGTGAAGTTCATGAATATCTTCCAACAGACAGCAAGGCACTGAGCCACGTTTTTGGATAGCACTTCGTTGTGAGAGCTTCACGAGGGGTTCAAGGAGATTATAAGGTTTTTAAAAAGAAGTCACTGTATAAATTATACCCCGTATCTCTTAACTAAGGAAAATTTAACTACCAGTGCCCAAATAGAAAGTATAAAACATTTTAAATAAACCAGCTCAGTTTTTGCTAAATCACATTGTCTGTGTGTGTGTTCTTTCCAGACATATGAAGATTCATGAGAAGGACCCCAGCAGCGCTACAGCTGCAGCCCCTCCGTCACCACTGAAGCGCAGGCGGCTGTCCTCCAAAAGGAAACTGAGTCACGATACAGAGTCAGAGAAGGAAGACCCAGCGCCTGCTAAAAAGGTCCTCTCTGACCCCAGCACAGATGTGCCTGCCCCAGGGACTCTTGGCAGAAATCCCTCCAGCCTTTATTTTCGCAGTCTGGGGGCTTGGTGGACACCCATCCCAAGCTTCTAACCTCTGTTTCCCTGCACTGTTTCATAAGGTCTCTGGAGAAAAAAGTACCTGTTTGCTCTTCCTTTGTGGAAGGAAGAGCCCCCCGGCTGAGCTCACTGATGATTCGAGGAGCTTGTTTCATTGTTCCCAGGGTTTTTTGTTTCTCCAGCTAGAATGGAAGGCTCTACTAAGTATTAGGGACTCTTTTGTCCTCACTCTTTTATTCCCAGTACCTGGCAGGTACTAGGTGCTCCGTGAATATTTGCTGAATGGATGAGTGAGTTGAGGGTGGGTGGGTGGGTGCTGGTGTTTGGTGAGGTTTTGTTACATGAAACGTTGGTCAGTAGCATCCTTAATGCCTAGGAGGGAGGCATCCTTTTCCTTTCAGATTCTGGATTTAGTGTCGGCTTCTCTGAAACAAATTGCGTGGGAGCCCTCCCTTGTGACTTAATGTTTCTTCTTTCCCCTAAGATGGTAGAGGACAGGCAGTCGGGTGACATGGAGAAGAAAGCTGATGAAGTGTTTCACTGCCCACTGTGTTTCAAGGAGTTTGTGTGCAAGTACGGGCTGGAGACCCACATGGAGACCCACTCAGATAACCCGCTAAGGTAGGAAAGGGGCTGGGGCAGCCTTGTGCTCTGGGGGCGCCTCCTTGTGATGTGTGATGCAACTTACCTCCTGTTACTCCAGCCTGGGCTGTGAGGCCATTAGTGAGGCCGATCAGAGTGCTTGCGGGGGTGGAAGTGGGGCTGAGAGGGGTCAGAGCAGGTGGCTGCAGCCCCAGGAGGATTCACCAGCATCACGGTGCTTCCTGCACTCCTGGCGGGGCCCCTGGGCAATCCCCATGAGCCCCCGCCCACGGGTAGCCTCCTAGCACCGGGCTTTGGGCAGCAGACACATTTTCTTCACGGATGGTGTTGCAGCCCAAATGGTCGTTAGCTGCGCCCGTGTGTGTGCTAAGGATGGGGAGGGCAGATCAGGTGCTCGTGGGCGTCTGGAATGGGCTGGTAGCACAGAAGCCTAGGAAAGCATTTGGGGGCAGGACAGAGTTCTGTCGTGCAGGACACGGGACCTGAATGCAGCCTGTCTCAGTAGCAGCAAAGGTGATGGTTCCGCTGGTCCAGGCTCCACATCGTTTTTCTGATTCTCAGTGGTCCCAGGCGGACCTCCGGCAGAATTTGGGGCTGGGGTGGGGGGAGCTCGGCTTTCCTCCCCGACCTTCTTCCCTACGTGTTTATCAGGCAGAAAAGCCCTTTGTTCCTGCTGAGCAGGTACCCTCTTCCTCTCTGAAACTGCTACTGTATCATTTTTAAGGCGCTGTAGGGGAGCCTCTGGTACTGTGAGACTTGAAAGTAGCATGTCCTGAGAGGCACAGCTGAAGGTTCCCAGAGCAGAGGCCAGTGCATATGTGGTTGCAGCTTTGGGTTTCAGAAGACAGCTTGGGAGTGTAGAAATCTGGACATCTGTTTGTCTGACTCACCAATACATGGACCACATTTCCTTCTTGGGGGCACATGTTTGGTTGTGGCTTAGGAGTGAAAAGGTCTGAAGCAGCTAAGCATGTTTGTGTTGGGGGAAAAGCCTAATTGTCCAGTAACATAAAGTCGTGCCAAATAATCATTATCCTTAATCACGTTAGCTTGACATTTTTCCACTAGAGAGAGAAAAGAATTTATGGAGAGATTAAACTCTGAGCAATTGAAGTGCTAGAACATTTCTTTAGGTGACTGCCCCGTCTTGGGAAACTCCTGGATGTGACGGGCAGGCATGGACTGGTGGTCAGAACCCTGGGTCCCTGTTCCACCTCTGCTCACATGGGGCCTGGACCAGCTGCATCTGAACCTTGAAGGAGAGCTGGACCAGATCGTCCTTGTGTTCCCTTTCAGGCCTGAAATTCTGTGACTCTGAAACCTGCCTCTGAACAGTAGTTCTTCTGTCTACCAAGAAAAAGCACTTGGCTCTTCCCTTTGTAGGCCCTGTCATTCTGAGAGATTCAGGAACTTGACTTCATGGTTTCATTAACATCCACAGCATCCCAGGATGCGGGCTGGTGGTGGGTGGTAACTATTGAAATAGTTCTCTGGATGCAGGACCTGAGCAAGCAGAGGTGAAGTTACCAGACAAACCTCACGTGGTGAGTCGTGGGCAGAGGCAGGAATAGCAGCTGCAACCCGCGACCCTCCGACCCCCATCAGCGCTTCTGACCCGGCACTGCAGGGTGCCTGAGTCCACACACTGCTCCTCTCTGGGTTCCTCCCTAGGTTTTCTTTCACTTTGTGTTTTATTCTGTGATCAGATACCATCTTAGGAACTACCCATTTACCCTCTTCTAGATGATTCTGTCCGACAGGGAAAATAACTTAACTCTCAAGAGAGATTTCTGGGCAGCTGGAGCCTGCACAGCACAGTGTATAGCAATGATAGAGGAAGATCAGGTGTCCCCTTCTTTGGTGCTGGCTGGCACCAGGGCGTGGGTGCTCCTGGAGTGGGGCCTTCTGGACAGGCACCTAATCTGGGGGCAGGCCGGGCTGGCTACTTGGAGAACATGGAGACGGGAATCGCCTTGGTTACTGGTTCACTGTTTTACATGATTTGGTGCATAATTCACTCGCCATGACTCCAAGGCTGTGAAGTTAAACCTCAGGTCCTCCCTTGCCCACTTGGTAATAGCATCCTTTGTTTGGGGAGGGTGGACTGGAGGAGTCCTGAGCCTGGTGGGGGGCTCGGCCCCTCCCGGCAGTGGCGTGAGAAGAGGTTGCCTTGCATCCATGGTGGGGGGCAAGCATGGGCGGCTGTTGCTGTGTGGGTGGGTCTTGTGTCTGGGAACCAAAGGAGTTAATTACAGAACATAGTTAGTTTCCCTCCTCTCCCCTCTGCTCTGCCCTCCACATAATGGCCTGCTATCAGAGGATGCCATGGGGACAGGCATGAGCCGGCAGGGCCCAGCCAGGCAGTGAACTGTGACAGTAGCTGGTGGGAGAGACTGCTTGTTAACCCAGAGCTAAAATAGGCACCAACTCCATTTGCAAACCCCAAAGGCAGCAGAACCACAGTGGGATGCTACCAGTTTAGACAGGAAGTTTATAACTCGAAACAGCTGTTGGCTTCTTTCTCTCCCTCTCCTGCCCTTACCACCCACCCCCAAAGCTGGCAAGGTGCCCGTTGTTCCTTAATAAAAAGCATTGGAAATCCAAATTCACGTAAACACCGAGGCTTTTCTCCTGCAGTGCCTTGTGTTTCAAGTTAACGAAGTGTAAGCGTAGAGCAAAAGGAAGACACAGACCACTGTAGTGATTCTGGCTCCGAGTGCTGGGTTTGTTTTCGCCCTGGTGTGATCAGACGCGCGGTGACTTGGCCCTTCTGTACAGCCCCCCAGACAGGAGAAGCAGAGGCTTTTTGGGAGCTGGCACTTGGGACTAGAGGTGCCAGAGTGTTCAGTGAGCAGGTGGATGCAGAGAGGACATCCCTGTGTGAGGGTGTCTGGGTGTTGAATGTCGTGCCTGGTTATAAGAATAGAACAGAGTAACAGGCTGTCCGCTGCCCTGAGTAAAGTTAGCTGGGAGGGAAGTCCAGGTCAGCAGCCACCAGTGCAGACAGGAGGAGAGCCACAAGGGCCACCTTAAGTTTTCAAGTAGCCACGTTCTAAAAAAGGAAGAGGAAATAGCGAAATTGATCGTGCTTTGCAGGTATACTAATATATCCAAAATATAATGTCAGTACAGAAATCGTCAGTGATGTGATTTACATTCTCATTCTCATACAGTCTTTGCCATCTGGTGTGTGGGGCATGATCGCAGCCCACCATTTCAATTGGAAGAGGCACATTCCAAGCCCCCAGCAGCCCATGTGTAGGTGCGAGCCTAGGACAAGCCCACCTGTAGCTGGGAGGGCTTTGTCTCAGACCCCCCCCCCTCCCCATTTTGTGTCTGAATGACTAGTCTCTGGCTAATGGGGGCTGGGCTGGGCTGGGGGGACCTCTGGGTAGTCACGGTGGCACTGTGACTGCAGCTGGGGGCGAAATTTGGCAAAAGTTATTGTATAATCTTATGTGGCTTCTTGATTAAAGGAGATTGGGTAATAAATAATTTTTAAATTAGTTCAGCTAAAATGTATCCGGCAAATGAATGAGTGCTTGTTGTGTGCCAGGCCCTTGACCAGACTTAAGAAAAAAGCGGTGACAGTGGAGACAGGGCCCCTCGAGGGCTGTCAGCAAAAGAGTAAGAGCGATTATAACAGAGTGAAGTGGGTCAGTTCAGGGCCAGACAGGCCAGCAGCCTGTTGTCCAAGCAGAGGGAGCCAGGGAGCCGGATAGGTTGGCGGAAAGCTTCCCACGGCATTTTACATTGGATGCTGGGGTGCTTGCCCGGGGCAGGCCCTCCTCAGTCCACTCCAGTTACCGTTCCTAGTTGTCTGTGAGGAAAATGTTATGGTGATGCCCTTAAATCTACATGGGGCATTGGAAGGTGGGGACCTGAGTGGGCTCTGCGGGCATGCGGCGGCACAGAGGGGAGGGCAGGTGCCCACAGGCATGGAGGGCGGGCTGCCAGAGGTGGGGAGAGTCGCCAGGACCACCTTCTTCCGGATTCTCAAGTGTTCCAACTGCCTGCCGTTCGACTGCCTGCCCTGCGCCCCATCCCCCCTCTACACACTCCCGTCACCTGCAGGGAGACCCTAAGACTGACTGACATGGCGCTGGTCCCACACTTGCTAAATGCCATCCTAAGAATAGGGAGAGGGTATAACGATACTCTCCAGCATCTCGTATGGGAGCCCCGGGGGTCTGAGGCTCAGCCAGGTGGACGGCAGATTTAAAACGATGCTGGGGGCTGAGGGAGGAGGAGATCCGCGCCCTGAGCTGGAGGCCTCTGCCCGGGCGGCCCCCCCCACCCGGCCCAGGGGCCTCTCAGCCCTGCCGCTGGCTTCTGGGCTCACCCCAGCCGCCCGCTGAGCAGTCCCTGGACCTGCCCGGCTCCCCGCTGCGTTGCTTCGGTCGAACAGACCTAGCAGGGCGTCAGCACGCAGTGCGCAGCCCAGCGGATTCCTGGGCGTGGGGAGGGCAGGCTGCCCCTGGCCAGGGCCCTCTCATAGGCCGTCGCTGTTGCTCCCAGCAACTGGGAGAGATTAGTGCAGCTGTTGGCTGTCAGCTCTGCGGCTGGGAAGCGGGGGAGGGCAGGGAGGGTGGGCACCAGGGGAGAGGAGGGTGTGAACCGGGCGGGGCTCTGGCGAGAAGCTGTTTGCACTCGCCCCTCTTGTCTCCGTAGACAGAACAGAGAAAATGAAGCATGGAATCCCTTTAAAAAGGAATGTCAGTCCCTCGATAAAACACTGTAATGAGCAAGAAATTCAGTATCTCAAGGAAGCAGCCAGGGTGACTGCCGCTTTCTCAGCAAGGTATTTCCCAGGTTCTGATGACAGGGCCGGGCCTGCTGCTGCTCAGCGGGTGTTGGGAAGACTCCCAGTCGAGCCACTGTCCAGGGCCCAGGCATTAAGGATGTGACATGGGTTGTAGAAGGAGCTGGGACACCTGCAGTAACCATCCTCTGAACACACAGCGCAGCAGCTGCAGCAGAGGGGTGGTGAGGGTGCCGGCTGCAGCCTGACTGGGGCC